GAACAGATTGCAGTGGGCAAGCGTTGGAGGCGGAAGGTTTTGCGTTGATTGGGGGTGCCCGTTTGCATCCTCAGAAAGGTTTAATTATCGGACTCAAAAGGACTTCCCATATGGGATGCATGATGCCATCTGTTGAGGGCGCGCGAGAGAACAGATTGCTGTGGGTGAGCGTTGAATTGCTAGGGTTGCCGGACTCAAAAGATGCCATCTGTTGAGGGCAGGAGAGAGAGAGAACAGATTGCAGCGGGCAAGCGTAAAGGTTTAGTTATCGGACTCACACGGATTTCCAAGATGGGGTGCATGATGCCATCTGTGGAGGGCGTGCAAGAGAACAGATCTGTTGAATCCCATGTTCTCCACTATATATAGGTCTATTATCCAAGACTTTCTTTACTTTGATTAAACCCACGGGAACTATCAACCAGCCCATTTTGGCCCTCAAGCCGCGCTGACTTCAAACTTTCCCGTGACAACAGGGGCACCCTTTTTCACCCCCACATCGTCTCTAGATGAAGAGGAAAAAGGGTACCCTCTGCCAAACCTCACCACTTCCAGCTACTCCTTGTCCACATACCTGTTTAAATATAAGTATCCTCACGAAAGCCTGCCGCTAGCCTCGGCCATGGGCTCCCCCGACCCATTTTTGCGCATTGATTGCAAACACGCAGCCCCTCACCTCCTTAGGGGTGCCCTTTTTCACCTCCAAAACGTCCCTCCACCAACACGAAAAAGGGCACCCCGCAAACCTATGTATTCTACTTTCTCTTTCTACCCCTATCTGGGTGGCCGCAATATCAACTTCACTACATAAAGGTACGCTTTGCTCACGTTCACCAATCACTTCGTCTTGCACGCTCAAGTCAAGTGGCTGCAATATCAACTTCACCACTTCCGGCTACTCTTCCTCCACTCTACCTATATACATATATGTCTCCTCCCAAAAGCCTGCCGATAACCTCGCCCCTCGACCCCGCAACCATCTTTGCTCTCTGATCGGCGCCGCGCAGCAAGCAACCGCCTCTCACTTCCTTCGGGGTGCCCTTTTTCACCTCCAAAACAGCCCTCCACCGATACGAAACAGGGCACTCCCCTCAAACCTATGTACTCAACTTTCTCTCTCTACCCCTGTCAGAGTGGCTGCGATGTCAACTTCACTACACAAAGGTACTCTTTGCCCGATGTTGGCCAATCACTTCATCTTTCGCGCTCAAGTGGCTGCAACATCACCTTCACTGCGTCCTCCCGAAAGCCTGCAGATAAACCTCACCCATGGCCCGCCAAAGCCATCTTTGCTCACTCACGTAGCAGGCCAGCGCCCCTCCCTTCCTTACGGATGCCCTTTTTCATGTCGAAAAAGGCAGCTCCCCCCCCAACCTATATATTCTGCTTTCGATTTCTTCCCCCTATCGGCGTGCCTGGGAGCGCCAGGCTGACCCTAAGGGCACCCCCCTTGACGCAAAGGCTGGCTTTCGTCCCCTCCCTTCTCCGACAAAAAAGTGTGTATACATATATAAATACATATGTGTGTATGTATGTGTGTGTTATATATTTATATATACATATGAGGAATATACTGTACTCGGTTGCGGGTTCTTACTATTATTGAAAAGCGACCAATCTAAATGGGTGGGTTGACTTTGCAAGTTCGACATAATGTGTGCTGCAGGGGCTGCCGGGCAGGACCCTGGCACTTGCACACGGTGGCTCTCTGAGCTGTAGGTAGGTGTTGAATGGTGGTGGCAGTGGTGGTGGTGGTGGTGGTGGCATGTGGGTATGGACCTGGCTTCTGCCGAGGCCCTGCCAGCGCGCCAGCCTCAATACAACTTCCAGAAGCTTGAAGAGAGTCAGCCATGTCGGCACAGGCATTTGTCGGTCCGGCCCGTCCATTGTACATCAAGCTCCCTCCAAGAGTAATAGGCGCAAAGGGCGTTGTCAGTCACAGGTGGTTGTCGTTTCCGACTTCGAGGGTGTTGTTGATTGCTTTGCCGAAGGCTACTCAGTTACAATTCGACCACGGTCGAACCATTGAGCTGCGCAACTGAAGTGGGGCCTTCGGCAAATTCATTCTAAGAATTGCAAAACTCGAAGTTCTTTAACCTGACCTGGCGGCCGGGCCTAATCGCTACTAGGGTGCAGACCACCATCGCTCTTAGGTTGGAGGCCACCGCTATTAGAAACAAAGAAAAGGGAAAGGAAGAAAGGTCTTGGGTGCCAGGCCAGACGCTCCTTTGCAGTGCAAAAAATTCGCGTTGCTTTCAATTCGTTGAGCAGCTGAAACAGCCCTGCAGGCACGCACTCAAAATACATTTGCTGGCGCGCTGCATCCGGTCTTGCACGTCTAGACTAGACTTGCGGTTCTCAGCGTTTTGGGCTTGTGGTAAGCAGGTTGCATGAAGTGCAGGTTCCACCTGGTCACACATTGTCACATAGGTGCATATATATATATATACTGTATATATTTTTACTGTATATATATATACATATGTATGTGTACAGAGTTTGCTTTTTGAGAGGCAAAATTGCCCACACCTACGTTCAGGTTTCAACTGACTGCTTCGGCCCTCTTGAAGGTTCCAAGACAAGTTGCCAAGATTCTTTGTCGCACGGCAATCGCCGCAGCTCATGCGGAGTTCTACAAGTTTTGTGGTAGGATGTCACGCGTGTGATTGCTCGGAAGCATTGATGATTGCTACAACAAGCATTCGCTCTGGAACACCTGAGAAAACCCTAAGCCAATACGCCGCAAACATAAACTAAGGACAAAATATCAGCAAGTCTTCAAGTTGCAAAGCCAGTTTCATGAAGAGTGCGGACAAGGAGCATCCCAAGACCCAAAGACTTACACCCTGTGGCCCAAGTAAGCGACACTTGCTTGGTCTTGTTTCATAAGGTGGTGCACAACGGCCACAACAGAATCGTGTTGCCGCTGCGCTTCGTCATTTCTCAAGATTGATGATGCTTAGGTGCGACAAATTGCAATCAGACAGCTCTTGCACTGGAGCAGTGCTAAAAGAGTTTGAGTGGGTTTGCCATCGCAATGGGTTTGCCATCGCATGCCGCTAAGTGTTGTGCATGTGCAGAGGGGGTGGCACGAACCAAAGTGTGGCATTGGCATTGAACGAACAGCTCAATGTGCAGCAATGACCACAACAACTCATTTGAACATTGTAATGTTGGCCATGATGCACCCATGGGCGCCATTGTGGCAAGGCACAACTCCGAAAGCTAGGAGAACGTGTGTGAATGATGGCCTCGAGTCCCGAAAGGCTTTACTGGTAATTTTGACATGACTAAACTGACTAAACGAGCAGATGCTGCCAGAGCTCACTCAGAAGACCTTTTCACACGCTCGCCGCGTCGCCGCTCATCCGCAGCATTTACACTCAAGTTTCCTTCCGCTTACTACTTCATCACATTATCTGCGACGCAACGTAGCTCGGTGTCCATATACCGTGCCTCGGTGAAAAGACTTCGATGTATGACCTTTGGAATAACTTTCCCCTCCAAGAAGCATTTGGACCAAGAGCACTTTTGGACAGCACTATCTTGCTGTGACTGGCACGGGCCACACGTCTCAAGTCCCCAGGTCGTTGACTTCGAGTTTTCAAGTCTCCGCCTTCCATATTGAATTTCTACAGCATCTTGGCCAAATTCAACACTACGTGACTGCACTGAATCAGACCCCAAGGTGAAGCAATGAATCTCAAACGCTTCATCGCAATTTTGGCTGCTTTAGCCTTGTCCTGAGTCTTTGGGCGGAAAAAAAACGTGCAGAACCTTTCGAATTTTGGTCTTGAACCGTTCGCCCTGTGAGGACCAGCTCCAGCAGGTCTTCGCGAAAGAAGCTCAAAACTGCAAAGTTGCAGCATTCGACCTTTTGGCAAGTGCACAGGAGGCGAAGATGGAAACAGCACCATCTATACTCCACAGAAACGAAGATCGAGAACTAAGACGATATTGGTGAATCTAGGGCCCTTAGGGGACTAGGAAAACATACATTTTCACCGTTTGTCACCTAACTGCACAGACATGCAGTGTACACACTAGAAAGCAGAAAGTGTGTCTTCACACTCCTGCGGAATATGCCTAGAGCATAGGCCGATGGGCTGTGCTTTGTTTGAGCACGCGTGTCACTACGGCCCCTGATGAACAATGATGAACAGGCGACAAGACCGAGAGAACAATTCACCAGTCGTATTTGATAGTTGGTGTTAGCTGGGCAAATATTGGCCTTCGTAGTTCACCAAAGCCCTTCCAAGTGTTCAGAGACGGTGAGCAAAGACATACAACATCATACAGCCACCTTTGACCACCGAATAAATCGTGTGGGGGGCCAGATAATCAGGGAAAGGCACCTTTTATGTACCGAACTGGTTTCGGTGAGCAGCACCGACCATTTGGTTTGCAATTGTTCTCGCACATTCTTTGTTTCGGCACAAGTTCGCGACCATGCCACTGATCCGTTTCACTTCGTTTCAACTCTGCTTTGAATACCTTTCTCTGGTTGTCCCCTCTTGCTTGTCTTCTATGGGCGGCTTGTCCTTCCGTTTGAGTTTCTAGGTTGCTCTATGCCTTTGTTCTTTTTGTGGTAATCCTGGGCTTGTTTCCACTATTCTCTTAGGCTGTTTCACGGACCAGCACGTGCACCTTACCTCAGCCGCACCCTGTAGTTCAGCAGGTGTCAGGTGAAACGGCTGCGTCCAAGTAGCTTGGTTTCTCAGTCCCTGGGCATCTCTAAACCAACATTCAGAGAAGCATTTTGCTCTGTCAGGTAGCTCTTCTTATAGCTGCCTTCACTGTCGGGTGGCACTTGAGCTTCTGAGGCAAATTCAGCCATTTCACAATCGAGCTCTAGAATGGTAACAGCCGAGTGCCAGCTGAGTTTACAGATGTGGCACCCAAGGATTGGGCCTTGTTTGGGGTTCCTTCGGCGAGGCAAACTGGTGAGAAACAGGGAAGTGCAGGACCCGTATGTGAGGGCCTTGTATGCTTTGCATTGCTTTGCTGTATTGGATTGGAGACCATTGCTATTAGGTTGGAGGCCCTCATCCCTATTCGGTTGGAGGCCATCGCTAGTCGGTTGAAGGCCGTCGCTATTGGATTGGAGACCATCGCTATTAGGTTGGAGTTTGAGGCCATCGTCCCTATAAGGTTGGGGGCCATCGCTAGTAGGTTGGAGGCCGTCGCTATTAGGTTGGAGGCCATCCCTATTAGGTTGGAGGCTGTCGCTGGTAGGTTGGAGGCCATCGCTGGTAGACTGGACGCCATTGCTGGTAGGTTAGAGGCATCGCTATAAGGTTGGAGGCCATCGCTATTCGGTTGGAGGCCACCGCTGTTCAGTTGGAGGCCGTCGCTGGCCATCGCTATTAGGTTGGAGGCTATCGCTATTCGGTTGGAGGCCGTTGCTATTGGGTTGGAGGCCATCGCTAGTAGGTTGGAGGCCATCGCTGTTCGGTTGAAGGCCCTCATCCCTATTAGGTTGGGGGGCCATCGCTATTGGGTTGGAGGCCATTGCTGGAGGCCATCAGTAGTAGATTGGAGGCCATCGCTAGTAGATTTGATGCCATTGCTAGTACAGTAGGTTGGAGGCCGCCGCTAGTAGGTTGGAGGCCGCCGCTAGTAGGTTGGAGGCCATCGCTAGTAGGTTGGAACATATCGCTAGTGGATTGGAGGCCATCGCTAGTAGGTTGGAGGCCATCAAAGCAGATTGGAGGCCATCGCTAGTAGATTGGAGGCCATCGCAAAAGTAGGTTGGAGGCATCGCTAGTAGGTTGGAGGCCAGCGCTATTAGGTTGGAGGCCATCGCTAGTAGGTTGGAGGCTGTAAATATGGCAGCGGAGGCCCAACCAACTCAACTAACACTGTCCACCTTTATCACACAACCACCACCAACAAAGAGCGCACGCTGGTTTCTGACACGCTATGGCTGAGCGATGTCGAGAGCATGAACTACCGGATATCAGGGCACGTCTTGAGCCCCGTAGGGTTGAGGAATTGATCTTTGGTCAACAGATGACACCAAATTCACACAGCTCCAAAAACTTTCTTGACCAAAGATAGAGTCATCCAAACAGCACACCAAATTTAACCAATCGGAATCACCATATTTTGTCTCCAACTGTCTCACCTGTTTCCGTTTCTTGCCTGAAACAAAATTTGGGTCAAAAACGATTCGCCAAGTCGTCTGACTAAGAGCCTGGATCAATTGTTCTCCTTTCCAAGGTTTGGTCAAACCGTCAGCTAATTCCTGATCTCCAGACACCCAGCGACACCTGACATTCGCCTGATTGAGGCGCTCGTGAATCCCTAAAACTTCGATTGAAGTTCGCCGTTCCTCCATTTGCAATCCACAGGTCTGCACACGTTCGAGGGCATCATAAACATTCTTGGCATCACTTAAGATGCATGACTCCTCTGAAGCTAGAATCTTGTCAGGATTTCTGAGGTCAAGGGTGTCTCATGAGGTAGACAAACAGCTTGATAAACTCATGTTCATCAAGTCCATTTCCTGTCATTTGCACCTGTGCACTCGTTGAGGACCGGGCGATTCGTCGAAGTCTTCGACTTGTCCAGCTCAACACAGAAAAGTGACTGAGTTTTCCACACATGGTATCTCTATTCATCAAAACAGTCAAAGCACCTCCCTGACTACTTCCGTCTTTCCTCGTAGCCCATGAGGCATCACAGAAAGTGACTATCAAGTTGTCTTGTACCTGGTGAGGAAAAATCAGCTTCACATGACTGTGCCTACGTTGCCATCTAATGGCTTTGTTCGTTTCCATCAAGTCGTGAACGGTTGCTGTCTCCACACATCCTTGAAGGTGAGAAACTGTAGAAAGCAACCAAGGACTCGTTTGAACTGCTCTCCAATTCAAAGCTCCCAAAGCTCTCCTCATTTCGGATTTCTCTGCGGCTGTCGCAAGATCATGTTTCATGTCTTTTCGTGAACGCTCTAAATTAATCTCATCAATTGATAATGCAAAACGTTCTTGATTCAGCCAAATGTCAAAATCTGCCGTTTGAAAAAACGTCGCATCCACAAAATTTGACACTTTTGTCCTGTGCACAGTCCTAGCTTCCAAAAGGAAAGGAATCCCGAAGTCGTCTCACTTGTTCTTCAAAGTAGACCCCAGCGCCTGCCACTACCAGGTCGTCTACGTGTGCACCTAAGTATCCACAAATCTCCTGAGTCGCCGGATCTGTCAGGATGAAGACGCACTGATCCAGTTGATGCGATTGCCAGTGTTGGCTCAACAAGGTAGCTTGAAGCTTCTCAAACCATTTCCGTGGAGCATGGCATAGCCCGTAAACGGCTTTAGCGACTCTCCAAAGCTCATGAGGTTTCATGTTCAAGTACTGTTTGACTTCTTCCGGAGGTTCAGCCCAAATGTTTCGTTCAAGTTCCGTTTGGTCTCCATTGAGATATGCCGTTTTTATGTCTCCTAGATAGACCTTGAACCTTCTTTGAGCTGCAAGCGACAGAATAGTGTTTCGTCCCAATGTACTCAACGTGGCCGCTTCCCGAGGCACCGACAAGAGTTCCGGATCCTGATAACCCTTCAAAATGAGACGAGCTTTAGCTTTTCTACCAACTTCTACACCATGTTCATCTTGAATAGGTTTCCACACTAAAACCCAACGCGTGCCAAGAATTCTCTCACGTGGAATGCCAGCACTTGCACAAATCTCAACGGCACTGTTTGAAGTGAAAGAATCTACTTCATTACCCATGGCCTTTTCAAATTCTTTTCGATCTTCCTCACTCAACTTCCGAAGATTGACTTCAACGTTTCGTTTGGCCTTTTGATTCAACACCCAAATACCTCTCTTACAGTGAACATCTCGTGCTGAAACACACAAATGAATTTCAACAGTGTGTGTCGTTTCCACTGCCCTTGCAAACAGAATGTCCATCTTTTCACTGCCGTCTTCTGGTATGGTCGAAAGTTGGACAGGCCCTGAGAGATCTGTACTCTCTTCCTGTCTTATATTTCGTGGATCCCGATGTGGGGTCCGACTCCGATGTCTCTGTTGATCGGATCTTCCTACCCGATGTTCAACTTCTCGGCGATCTGCAACAGCACTGCCTCCATTTGTCCCATGCGCTGTTTCAGCGCGTTGGTCTCTTCCTGCAGTTGAATCATCTCGTGGGAAGGTTCCTCCATCGTCACGGTCCACTCCTTGTCTAAGTCTCCCCTCTCGATCTTCTCTTCGAGCAAGGCTTCCACTCCCCCACGTTTCTTGGTGTTCCCGGTCACCATCTGAGGGTCGCCTTTTGTGCCCCCGTATCCTGCTGCTGTCTCCATCTGTTGAACCAACGCTTTGGTGCGGCGGTTCAGGAATTCCACAAACATCTGCATCGTTGGATTGCTCTTCTCCGGGTTCACATGGCTGGCTACCCATTCGGCGTATCCCGGTTGAGCTGCTGCTTCCTCGAATGTCAGTCCCTTGTGCTTGCCGAAGTCGATCTTCATGTTCTTGAGTTCGATCAGTGGCATGGTCTTGGCCTTCTCGACCAGGTCCTTGCCGCTCGCATGACTTGTCAAGCGCTTCAGTTTGTCCAGGTTCTCCTTGAGGCTCAACTCTGGCTTGCTTGAAGCGCTCATGGCTTTCACCAAAATCAGGTGGTCTAGGATCCGGGGGACTGTCTACGTCGAGAGATCTCTTGCCTTGACACCGAAATCTCGGAACATTCATGTCAGGTGACACGTCAGGCACATCAGCATTTTCTTCAATCAAATCATGAAACTTTTGCTGACGTCTCAAAGTCTTGTACATGGTTTCAAAAACAGATGCCCCGTTTATTTGCATGTCAATCTGCTGAACATCATGTGTAACGGGTCGCAGCTGTTCCGGTGAACATCTCAAAAGAAAACCAGCATGACTCACCCACACAATTGATCCAGGGTGATTCGTGAGGTGTTGTTCAGATGTTTTCTCATGACACAAAACTCTTCCCGGCCCATGCCATCGACCTGCCACTCTAGTGCCTTCTTTACGATCTCTACGATAGTAATAGACCAATTGACCCATTGAATACTCTCTGAGTGGCCTACTTTGTCCGCGCAATGCTCTTTGCAGCCGTCGCTGTGCATCTGCCTCAATGAAGAGTTTCCTGGCTGCAGCTTCCTTTTTCAAGCTGGCCTCGAAATCAAGATCTTCACGTTGGCTGTCCCAAGGAAGGTGTCCGTCGAAACGGAGAAAGGAACTAATTCTCCCATGGTTGGCACCAAATTGCCATTGATTCGGAGTATAGCCCTTGATATTGTGAACCTCGTTTTTTCGCCATGACAGCCAGGCTCAACAGTTCTTTGGCATCCGTCTCGGCACCCAACTCATAAGCCAACAAATTAGCATTTTCTTTCAAAACCTGCAGGTGTCGGGAATGTTTTCCCATCTGCCATGCGCTTTCGCCACCAATAGGTTCCATCTTAATCCCCAAACCTTCCAACCAACTGATCAACCCAAAACCTCTCATGTAGCCTTCTTCATCATATCTCATCTTTTGGGGGATCGGGAACCGTTTCACCCAACCTTCCAAAAACCCTTCTTTGAATTCCTTCCCAGAAATCACATGTTGGGGTTGTTTACCTTGACGCACCACCACAATCGTGTGATAATCAGTAGCTTCGTCAAACAAGGAGATACCCACCACATGTTGTCCATCTTGGCCTGGGGACAGGAGTTCTTTGGGAACATGCCACCAGAAAGTGTCCATGCTGATGCACTCCCACTTGTCTCGAATGGGGGGTGGCGTCGCTGGATGACAGGTTGCCCGTCTTCCTCGCTGTAGGCAATGGTCGCACCTGAACAGAGCCACCTGTTTCAAGACAGCTGGTGAAGCACCTGCATCTTTAAACATTCGCTGCATAACTTGGGGGTTGGGGTGTCCCAAGTTTCGATGAATGAGGCTGATCTGATTCATGGTACGTGAATCTTCTTCAATGATCATGTCCTCTTCATG